TTTTTTTTTTTGGGGGTTTAAAGGGTAATTAAAAAAAAAAAAAAAAAAAGATATGATCAGATTACTATGAATATTGACATTGCATTATAATAATGGCAAATGACAAGCAAAGTCTGTCTTCGGCCCCCTTGAACTACCTAAATAATTACAGTATGTACCCTGTGAACTATCGTCTCTAATTTAGAACTTTACAAAGATAGGTATGACACAGTGAATTAGGGAAAAAAAGTTTCCATTCTAAGCCAAAACAAATTAAAAACCTGTATTTAAAATTAAATGTAAAAAGCAAAGGCAAAGTAGTTACTTAATTATGTGGAAAAACCCTTAAGCGCTTATAAATGTGCATAAGAAAACAATGTATTCTGATTTCCGAAGCACATTAAAAATACAATGCCCTTGCATGCTTCTAGCAAACATATCAGCGTGACATCTAAAAAGCATACATGGCTTTGGTTACGGAGACTTTCTCTCTTTTGTTTTCCCTTCGTAACAGATGTAAGAGTGACTCTAGTCCTTACAAGCTACCGTAAGTGGAAATATTTAATTAAAAAAAAACAGTATTAGAAGATTTTAAAATAAAACATTCGACACAATTGTCAGTGAAAAGACAGAGACCTAAGAGTACCACACTTTCTTATGCAGCTCGCTGCAGCAGCTCCTTTTCAAATACCTCTGGTTCTGCTGAAGTTTTTTTTTCTTGCCAGCAAGGATATAAAAGCATATTCAATATACACATTAATTCTTTAATGTCTTGACTGGAAATGGGTATTTTTGGAAATTCTACTGTCTATACTTCAAAAATTCTTCCGAATAAAGCAAAGTAGAACAGACCCAGAAAGAAACGGGAGAGAAGGAGCTACATTCTCATATGGCCACACATGGGTGAAATTGCCTTGAAAAACAAAATAAATTAAAAATAACTGATTAAATGTTTTTCACTGTCATATGAATCACATCTGAGATTGAAAATTACAGGAGGTGCAGTTTTGCCCCACTCTATTTTTCATTTGACTTTGAAAGGCATTTTATACAATTTGCCAGGAAGAATATTTAAGCAAAAGCTTCACCTTCTTTACATTGTATTAACTTAAAATGAGGAATTCAGTATTTAACTCATCTACCACAACAAGTGAAGAAACAGTTCTAGTAATTACTTCATCAAAAAATAAATATTGACTTATTGATAAAGAAGGATCAAAATTACATCTGTTTAAGCTAGTGCAACTTAGAACAAACCGCTGCTAAGTAAATGAGCAATAAGAAAAATAAAAGTCTTATAGGCCTGCCTTTTTTGCTTCACTTTTCTATTTTTTATTTTAAGTAATTTTCTTGGCTCCAGTTTTATTATTTTGCCAATATCAATATGAAAAACACAATTCTACAAATACATAATAAAGTAATTGTAATTATACACTGTGCAGCTACTGTAAGCACTTCTGAGTTGTTTTTAAAAGCTTACATATATCTCAACAAAACCTCAGAATATCATCATATCTGTCAAAAATGCTCTACACTACAAAGTTACGTGATTTGTCCCGTATCTTATTGCAAAACTAGCACAGAACAGTGAAATGCCAATTTCATGTCAAAAAACACAGGCAAAAAATTAGCACAAGGTAACAAGCTTCAAATGCTGCAGATTTATTACTCCCCTTTCCATTGACTGACTTCTCATCTGTCTCAAGCTAAAAGTGGTTATACAGACGATGATCGTGGATCAGCTGATACACAGCAGTCTCTTAACTCATGATAACTTGCTCCTGGTGTCTGTACTCTCAGATTCCATGGGGTCCTTATTTCTACACCGTATTTACAGACTGACAGATCAACCTATTTTATCCATATGCTCACAGTTTTGTATTATTTATCACACACAACAACTTGGAAGTCCACAACAAAATCAAAATTAAAGGCAAAGCAGACTCCGCATGATATATCAAATTATCCAGTGAAAACTTTTAAAAATTTTTTAAAGTATAATTTACCTGCAAGATAGATTTAAAGACGTAACGCTACTCCTATATTTGACCTTACATAGGATACCGTGCTGGTGGGGGAGGACTGTTAAGAAAAAAGTCTTAACAAAATATTTACATGACTAATATTAGTTAAATACAACGTAAACATCACAGTCACAAGAACAAAACAAAACTTTTCTGTTGCACTCTCAGCTTGCTCTTAAAAGGGAGAGTTTGAGACATTATTATATGTTGACACTTGTGAGCAAAAAATTAAATTTGCCATGAACTGCCTTTTTCATTTTGATCAAAGTCTGGTAAACCGCTTCTCCATTCCTTCCTTCCCATTCCAATATAAATTTTGAACTTAGATGTGCTATTTATTATGCACAGAAACAACCTGAGGATATAATGAAAATAATATCTGCTTTAATATTTTTTTAATAGGAATACATTTTTAAATGCAAAGCATGTATGATTGGAGGGGGGTGGTTTCTGGCTGGAGCCATAAATCTGTCTGAGCAATAAATCATGACACTCTTACCAGCTGCACTTCTCCAAAAGCGCCTCTTCCAATCACTTTAACAACATCGTAGTCTTCAGCTTTCATTTGTAAAGCTCGGATTTTTTCCACAATTTTCTCATCTAAAACAAATGAAACAAAAAGTATTATAATGCATGCATAACAGAATACAATAATTTTTACTAATATTTGACATTTAGCGTCAAAGCAAGCTATGTGAATCTAACTGTTTGCAGCCTTCTTGGTAACCCTTTAAATATTCAATCTCAATTTTCTGGTATTGTCTGGAAAACAGTAACCACCTCTACCTTTCACCGTAACATTTAAACTTTTGGGGGGATTTAACTGATTCTCATTTCAGACCTTTAATAATCATTTACAAGCTTCCAAGAATACTCCGGTAACCAAAAGAACCAGCCATGCCTATCTTGAATCTTTCCTATATTTACTCCTTGCCATCTGCTGTGCTGCCACCAGTCACTGACTGCCACGGATAACACAGGAGCGTGAAGTACCTGGTACGCACAAAAGCACAGCAGGTGCAATCTGCTGCTACACACCTGCAGGATTCAACAGCAGTCGGACAGTGAGAAATATAACTCAATAACCTTCCTGTACAACTTCAGGCTAGCTTATACAACGATATGATTTTGAATCCATTTATTCATTCCATACGACATTTTAATTCAACTAAAGTATGCTTGTATCACTGCTGGCCATCTCAAAGTGCTTTCCTTAATGATCATTGCATGCCTCGTTCTACACTTTTTAATTCACAACATTCTGTTCAAGTATATTTTGGTGTAATAGTCTGCAGATAAGCTTTACCATTCAATTTTTTTTCCTTTGCCACTGTGGGAATGTATGAGGAAATGCAATGAAATTCTGACCTCTAGTTCTAAAAAGCAAAAAGGGAGATCCAAGGCTCTTAATTTTGTAAATATAGCATCCTAGTGAATGCATTCCTGGCTAAATGCATTGTAAAATCTTTTTTTTTTTTTTTTAAAC